GCCCGCCCGCCCGCGAGCCCACGCTCACCCTCCACGCCTCGCCCTCCCTTGCATCTCCTGCCTACAGCATCGCGCGCTGCTCTGAAGAGCTGGAGACATCTCCTCGGTTTGAAATATGCATTTTGGATTGCCACAGCTACTTCTTCCTCCCTTGAGATGATTTCGCTTGGTGCAGCTCATTTTTTAATCATGTTTTGAGGGGCAGCCTTTGGAATTAGGATGCAGTTTTCTATAAATGCGTTGATACAGTAGGAATGACTAAGAGGCTTAGGTGTGCCTTATTGCACACTTTTATCTTCTCAGTACATTTTTCAAAGCGTAATTTATTTCTGATCATCCTTGAATTCTGGAGCTTTTCATACTTGGGCTAAGAGCAGCGAGCGCTCTGGCAGATGAGAAGATGATGGTGAGTACTAACAAGATTTTCTAAAGTTAAATGCCCTAAAGAAATCAATAGAGAATTGGTTAAGCATCAAAACCAGAGATCCTATTGAAGTTCTTCTTAAGCTGTTTATTTGTCATCTTCTGAAAGATCTCTCCCTACGCAATCTTTAATCCTTCATGTGAAGACAATTATTCCCTGTTACTAGTGTGTGGACACGTGCTTTATGGGTATGCGATCCTGTGCAGATCAACATAGGTTGTATTACAGCTAAGCCTGCCTACAATAGCTATGCACGTATGGATTTTATACAGCGTCACATGTATGCAGGAAGCACCGTATAAGAGTGCACTCCTGACATACACGCCAGCCTGCATGTGGTTTCAGACGCACGCGTATATGCTGTTTGCATATATACACCTGTGTGCAGGCACGTAGCATCAAGTTCACGGAGGTGCGTGCCAGTGAGATTTTGCAGCACTTGAAGTCAATTGCTTCAAGCATGCATTAATCTAGGCTTAAGACAAGAACACACATTAACTAAATGCTACACACACTGTTAGTAAAATATATTTATGGAGGACTAAAGGCCACAAAAGAGAGAAAAATCTCCCACAGTTATTAAGTCTTAATTAATTAAATCTTTAAAGCTAATTGATACTTCTCTAAGGGACAACAACCACGCTACTATTCAGCAAGGCTGTCCCTGCAGAGACCTCTGACTGAAGTGAATGAACGGACAGGAAAGTCCTTGAGCCTCTGCTTTCGTTATTTGGTGTGGCGCGGAAAGAGCTGGGCTGAGCTCAGGGGCCTGCTGGGCCAGACTGGGCTTGAGCGTGGCCACCGGGCAGCCCCTCCCACACAGGTCTTACACGCCACCCAGCACTTCAGGCTGGGGAAGTTCAGTGCGAATCACACCCGCATAGTCCATTCCCTTGAGAGCACAAAGTACATCTTCAAAAAAGTACATTTTTTTCATATAAGTTTCCTTTTTTCCACCAGATTTTCACTATTTTCTAAAAAGAGAGGCACAGATGATCAAGCATCATGTAGTTCAGAGGTGGAACCCTAAGTCACACTATAATCCCTATTTAGTTATTATCATTTAGAAATGCAAACTACTCTCTGTTTGAGGTTTTAAGTAAGGTGCCTCCCATGTAAGCACCGAAATCTTAATTAGCTAGACAGATTTTATAGAAGGCTTCATCTCGTGTGCTGGGGCTGTTTGGAATGCTGCTGTTCTCGTCAGACAAGCCTGGATTTCTTATGATGACTCATTATCTGTTAATGTTAATACAAAACATTTGCTGTTGTTAGGCAGAATGAGGACATCACAGCAGCTGCCTGCCATTTTCAAAGCAGAGAATTACCATACAATACTGTAAATTTTAACTGCCTTGTGCAGAAGCTAGGGTCAGAGCAATGTTATCATACCAGTAACATTTTAAAATCTCAGATAGCCACTTCTCTAAAAATGATGCTGGACATTTACATAGTTCTGGATGAATACCATTTATTTAGAATGTAAAATTTATATTGTATTCCAAAGAGCCTCTTTGTGCAAGTAGGTCAGCACTTGATCAACCTTACAGATTTTTGTATAATCTCATTCCTTTTTTTTTTTTTTTTTAAAAGTCAAAGAGGGTGAGAGACAAGGATTATGGGCAAGAATAACTTGAAATACTAAAATTCAGTTCAGAAAGCCTGAAAGCCACTATGAAACTTAACCAAAACAGCCAAGGTGGCTCTGGTTCCAGGTCCAAGTCATATAAAACCTCTTTGCTTTCCCAAACTCCTGCAGAGTTCATCGCTTGGAGTGGGCTCTCAGAAATCCTCCCAACGGCATCATGTGTCCCAGGTGCTCAAGCCTGGCCTAAAGGGCGGATCATAACTGAAACTGTGTGAAGTCCTCATCACATTCTACCTTCCCCCCCCCCCTCCTTTTGGTTTGCAAAACGTTTGTCAAAAGACCACAGTTATTACAAGCTGTCCTGACTTACAGTTGGCTAGTGGCTGTGAGGATAGATTTCAGCACCTAGGTTGTCCAAAAAGGTGTCTGCTCCTACCTCTGCTTCAGCACTGCATCTCATCTGCCATCTCTTGTGATTAGGGCACTGATACTTTTGCTTCTTATAATCTCTATGGGCAACATTCTTAAGTTAGTTGCCTAGTACAAATGCTTTAATTTGGTGTTTTATTGTTCACTTACAAGATGTGGCTTAGGGACACATTATTGCTGCAAGATTTGTATGCTAGGCTGCCAAGAATGGGTGAAATCCACTATTTTAAGCGTAAAAGCAGCTGGTGTGCTGCCTTCCACATAGGTGTGACATTCATCTATGAGAGAGCACTCCAAGGGGGTTTGAACACATGCAAATGAAGTCTGCTGGAAAATGCCAGCAGATGTTCACCACAAGTGAAATTCACCTCTCTTCGGAGGGCTATCGCAGTGCTACGGACCACTCAGATGTCACCTAAACCCTTAAATAGATTATGTTGGCATGGGGCAAATCTGACCCAAGGAAATACCTTCAACATCTGTTTGCAATGGAACTAGATGCGTTTCACCAGGTTTCCTTACAAAACCTCAGTGCTGCCTGCAGCTATTAAAGCAGGAGATGATTGCACAGTGCCATGCTTTACATCTGCTCTGGGCAACAGCTCAGGTCAGCTCAACCTGGCAATGCTACCAGTGTCTTAAAATCTCCAACTGCCATTTAGGTAGCACGGTGTTCAGTATCTGCGTCATTCTGAATAAGTGCTGCTGTAGTGTAACATATAAAGTTTATGTTAAACTCAAAGCAGCCTCCTGGTGCTTATCTATTCAAAATTTCTGCGTTCTCTTTCTGACCCTGTCACCTCTGTCCCTGGCCACATAATCCGGCTCGTGCCTCAGGCTCTGAATCCTCAAGTCTGATAGTACTAATTTGCTTATTAGAAAGCTAAGAGCTGTGAAGTGCCATCAACTAATACTTGTAAAGTGCTTCGAGCCTTTCCAAGGAAGGATATTTCCAGCGCTCAGACTGATACAATTTGCAGTTCCTTCCCTGAGTGACCACGAGCCTGCAGAGGGGGCAAAGCTTCCCAGGCGTGGCGTGCCGTGGGGCGCGTGAGCCTCTGTGCGTGCTGCCCTGCCGCGGGGCCCTCCAAGCAGCGCGGCTCAGCGACTGCCACCATACGGCCCCGGCCACCTCCCAGACTTCAGCGCTCGCTGCAAGGAGAGCGCTGCGACTGACCCCTGGGTATGAAGCTTTGCTCCCTCTACCAAATCTTTCCACCTCTGCTCAGATGCATCCGGCTAAAACCAACTCAGTCACCTTCAGGCTAGTCTGCTGTTAGCACAAAAACCAGCCAGTCAGATATTCTTACCTCCAGAACAGACATTGAGTTTGAAGCACTTGAGAACTTCTGAATGTACTTTTCACTGGAAAACCATCCTCAGCCTCACTGCTCTCACTGTACTTAGAAGCGTCTGCCCAGCGACAATATGAGTCAATCATAACGACAGGCAACAACTCACACACTGAATTCTATCGACATAACCAACCAAGCCAGCCACTCTCAGGTTTTACCTTACGCCGCAACACCTGAACTTGCATATATTTTTTGGTCCGTGAAATGTCCCAATACTGCAAAAACATATTCATGCAAAAAACTATTTGCATGGTGCAGTGGTACAATTTGAATGAAGTCCTTTTGAACGTAAGCTTTCAGAAAGCCAGTGGGAACCAGGCCGATTGTCACGGGCTACGATGCAAACTCTGGACTGCAGGAATATCTGCATAGCGCGGTTCTGCAAATCTCATTCAGAAAACTTATGTGCCATATTTCTGGTAGGCTCTCACTCTAGTGAAAAAAACACAGGCAGAAGAGGTGACAAATATGCATGAAAAACAGCGGGATGGGGGAAAATATTAAGCAATTTCTTTTAGAGCTTCTAAGGGATGTTGTATTGATGCCACTTTGGGATGAAAGCAATTTCTGTTATCCATGCCACCTTGAGGTTCCCTACATTATTCCTCACCTCCTGTAAGAATCTGTGGCCATCGCCTGGTTTTTACAATGAGGTAGGCATGAATATTATATATGTGTATTCCAAAAACATCCTGGTGCAAAGAAACATGTGCATGTGTGGACTAACACGCACATAAAGAGAAGTCCTGTGGCGTACTCTTTTTTCATTAACATTAATGAAACCAACCATCGGCTTCCAGAACTTTATAAATAATGGAAACACTATTACAAAGTTAATGCTCCAGGTAAAATTTTTATAGATTTTTTCCCAGAGCATGTCAATACACATTTTTGGATGCCATGAAAACAGGGCTATGCGAATTGCAAGGATTTATTAAAGCACAATGGACCTGCTTTCGCCTATTTAAAAAAATCCATTGAAATGAACAGGGACTCAGTCTCCAGCACATAATTTTACAGGACCTCAGGACGGACCAGTGGAAATTCCCCCGGCTTCCCGCAGCGTGCAGTATCTGGAGGCATTTCTGCTCTTTCACGTCTACTTCAGACATGAGAACCGCTGACAAATTTCCATTATGGGTTTTTTGTTTAAGGGACAGACATTGCAAACTACAACGGCATAAAAGTTACAGCACGATTGCAGTTTGCTTGCTGAAGTTAGAGCCTGAGCATGCTGCTGAGGGAAAACCTGCTCCGAAGACATCTCCAGCTCATTCTGCAGCTGATCCTTACTCGCTCGTTAGCTCTGTGGCCAACCAGCTCAGCACATCGTTGCTGTGGCCACTATTTGGGGGGAAGACGAAGCCAGAGAAATAGTGGGAGAACATTAACAGACAGGGAATAAGAGCCTTGTATTTTAATGGTAAAAACCCTCTCTTTAACTTTGTCATAGAAGGTGCTCACCCAAAATACAAATATACATACATACATATATATATATATAAAAATATATAAATATATATACACCCCCCTCCAGTTTATAATAAACTGAAATGGCATATAAATTTTTAAAGGTCAGAACAGGAGGATCTGCTTGAATCTCCTCAATTTGGAGGATTTATGAGGAGGGCTGAAGAGGAATGGAGTTCGATTTTAGTTCTTCTCCCCAAGACCGTGATCACGGGGAAAGCGCAGTCAGGAATTCAAGCTCGCACCAGCATGACGACTGGTCACCTAAGTCCTCTCCCCACAGCTCTACAAATATCCTGCAGCCCAAGCACCGTGAGCAAAAATACCCGCCTGGGAGGGACCGGGACACGCCACTTCATCTGCCAGATTACTCAGCTGGGACCCACAGCTGGATAATTTCACTTGCGTCCTTCTCATGACTGAAACTCTCCGGCACCTACCCTGTAACCTCGGGAAGTAACTTCAGCGCCTGCAGCTCCCTCCCTAATCCCTTCCACTGTTGAGGCGTGGCCAAGCCACGCCATCGGAGCTGCAAGGTTTAATGAATCTGAAGTACACGTTTCGATGTGCTGTAAACATTATGGAAAAGCCCCGCACCCATCTGACTCTGATTGGTACAGAGATTTTTTCCAAAATAAAAGCGAAACTCCTCCAGCTGGAAAGACATCTTGGTTGCCCAATGCATGGTGAATGACCAAAGCGATGTCATTTCCATTTTTAGCAACTGTGCTAATGATACCACTGCGGATAAAGACATTAGTAAAAAGACTGATTAAAAAAAACCTTGCTTTCTGGCATATTCAATCTAATTCAGCACGCACAGACAGGTGCACATCTCACCTGGCCTGCTCAGACACAACCAAACCATAGCACAGCAGAGACCATTAGCTTTTTATTCCCTTTCCATTCTAATCTAATTATATTTCTGCATTCTGTAGCTGAGCCTAATGTTGAACAGGCGATTCCGAGTAAGCTGCAGTTAGGGAAGGCTGGAAATTTCATTTACACTGAATATGTGATTCATTACAGTGAGGACTTTGGACAGACCAATTGATTTACCTGAGCACATGGCTCAAACTGGCATTGCTGCCTCACAGTAAAATGCCACATAGTTTACCCTAAGTGTTTTTCCTGCCACCACTATCTGCAATGCCACCTTCCAAAGACAGACAAGGAGGAGAAAATGGCTCAAGCTAACTCAAAAAACCAGTAAATATCCCCAAACAATAAAACAGAACAAAAAAGCTTGACCGGAACTATTTTAGTACTAGTTTGATTGCAGCAGTATCCAAGTCGTGAACCCAGACTACCGTAGACTGCATATGGGAGAGCTGCTACGGTTTCCTGCAGAGAAGAGAAAGGGCATGGGAAGAGGAGGAGGAGGACTGCTGGCACCAGTGCAGTGGAAGCATGAAAATGCTCATTATTGCAAAAACCATCAGATGAGCTTTAGGGTATCGATGAAGTATGCACACAGGATGCATGATCCCTACAATGAGGCAGACTGTCCATCATGCAATGGGAGGTTAATGACAAATGAGGCCATCTTATAGCTTTGAAGTTACTGTCATTTGTTGAAAATATAAGAGGTTTAGAGGTGGGCTGGAACAAAAAAACCTAGGTCTATTAATTTGAAAAGTTCAAGCTTGACCATCTGAAACCCAAGAGCTCAAGGGATCCACCGCTCCCTGTCGTCCATATCCATCTAAGTTTCTGACTGTTAGTTCAGGCCCATCTCTAATTCACCTTCACGGAGAAGTCATTTTTGCACCCAATCTCCCCTTTACGGTGGAAGACAGTTACCGCCGGCTGGATGAGGAATCTTGGTCAGGTCAAATGCCTTAAAGAAAGAATCACCTCAGTGGTTAGCATCACATAGGCAACACAGTGATGAGAAAGGCCTTGCTGTGCACAAAGATGTTCATAGTTAGGAAACGGTGGGGTAATTGGATAAAAATCTCTTAAGAGTGGTACGTACCAGGAAACAGCCACATGGCGTCTGCCCTGCCCCCAGGAAGTAAAACAGACTTCGGCCAGTCAGCAGGAGATTTCAAACCATTTCTCAGACACAAAGGCCACAGGAATAAGATGCCGATCAGAAGAAGAGGGTCTGCAGCAAGCAGAAAAATGGGCTTGCACGTGCCAGTACGTAACACACAACAAGCAAGCCTAGTCAGGCCTGCTGCAAAAATGAGCTATTTTAGAGGGAAAAAAAAAAATCTCTAAAATAATGCTTTGAATGGGCTTATTGGCCTTGCAAGCTACAGTCGCACAAAACAGAGAAAGACAAAGACCAACTACAATATCTTATGTTTTTTCCCCCAGTGAACAAGGTAACTTTTAACCAAACCATATCTGCATACGGTATATGTGTATATTTGACACAAGCCAAATCTTTGTAGGCCTTTCACTTAAAAACGTATCTTCAGTTTCTCTCTCCTTTTCCTCCGGAGCACTTTCCTATTTCCCAGCTGCAGAACACGAGCATGGCCCCGTGGTGCCGTGACACAGGGAAACGGGTCATGCAGAAAACTACGGTGCAGGAGGCCAGCTGAACTACCAGTGAGGGTGTCTGCACCCCTGGCTCTGCAAATCCACTGCAGAGAGACTTCTCCAGCTGCATCAGGCTTCATGGAAATGCATAGAGGCCAATAATCTCCCAAAAAGCATTACCTTAAGATAAAAAAGCAGTGAACCCTTTCCAACCAACGCTCCTATGCCAGCAACCAGCATCTCTAGCGGTGCGAATAGGAGATGTTGACGGTGTTCAGCACAGTGCAGAGGCAGGATGGGAAAACAGCCTCTCCCCTTTCGGGTCCCCGCATTGGTTGGCTGGGGTTCACGTCAAAATTAACGCACACATACTATTCAATGAAATGGTTTGAAAATCCTTGCCAATTCTCTGCCTTCCAAAACCCGAGGAAACCCCAGAATATGCAAACTAGCAAAATTTCACGCACAAAGAGAAGAAAACAGTTAAAAAAGATACTTATTAAATTGTTGACTTTCAGGCCTCTGTCCTTCATGCAGCTAGGCAACAACCTTGGGTAACAAACAAGTCACAGTCCAACAAGGCTGTATATTGAAGGAAGCAGTTGCTATTTTTCTCCCTCAAAATAGTCCTGGTTTTTTTGCAGATTTAACAGCAAACACACGTTTACTGTGTGGAGCGATACTGGTAAATCTCTGCACCAATCATTAGCGAAAACCCTCCTCGTAAAGCAGAGCTAACCTAAAGCCCGCACAGCAAACTACTGGCCCCATGCAGCGGGTTCCCGGCCAAATGCTGGTGTCCCCACTCTCAGTCTAGGGATAGAGGTCACTTACCAAGTCCTCCCATCTGTCTCATTTTCCTTACAGACAAGAGACATACAGAGCAATGGCTCACATTTTTTATACCACACTGTCAACTCCTATTATACCCCCTTGTTACTGTATCATTATTTCATCCCAGACAAATGGTTCATTTGGTTCAGGCAGCCTACTCCTTCATTAATCACGTCCCTCATTCACAACGCAGCAGCTCTTTAGGTGCCACTTAGAAGACAGCATAGAAATTCTGGAAGATGGATTTGAGGTAAATTTACTTGCTGGAGGTGGAAGCAGGGAACTGAAAAATGTGCAGTGCTAAACACTCTCAGGGCTTGATGAGATGTGCTCAAGGTAAGCTAGCAGACTTTGCAAGGACAGGAGCTTCTTAAAGTCACTGAGGGAGAAGCAATAGCAGTACAGGCCTATAGCTATGGGTCACAAAGGCAAAAGCTAATCATTTGTCCTCGTTTGAAGGATAAGAAGTTCAACAGCAATAGCCACATATCAGCAGAAAGCAAACCAAATTACAAGCTGGCCAGTGCGTTCAGCTGACCAGCTGATTTTCAGAAGGTAGCTGGTCATTGCGGCTTGAAAAGCCAGAGGAAGCCAATTCAGTCAAGTGCTTCGCTGCCAGATTTTCTTTGGATATCTATTATGAATCAGGATTTCCCCCTGAAGGAGGAGGAGCACAGCGAATCTAGGGACCCACAGAACATAACAAGAGGTCGTTTCCTAACCCACCTAAGACCGAACGCTCTAACTAGAAAGATGCATGGAAAACATGATGGATGCCCATCTTACCTGTTTCCATTGAAAGTTGTTTTATAATCTCCAGGCGAGTGTAATGCCTCCTCTGTGTACACAGGCACCGGTGTCCTGACACACTCATGGGAGCACTGCAGTGTTTCGTTATAGGCTGTGAATATGTCCAGGTTACTGGGCACCCGGGCAGGAGTGAAGTCCGTCAGATTTTGGCAACTCTCTTCCTGCTGATTGATTTTGCGTTGGTGGCTGTTTCGCCTGGTGTTCCCACTTTGCACACAACTAAGACATTAAAGGAAAGAAAAAGAAACAACACAAAATGCACCTCTGACACTTGAAAGAGGAACTTGCATTATCGGCCATTAATTATACATCATTCAATATGAGATTATAATTCAGTCACTTTGGAAAGATCAGCCACAATCAAGCAGTCGTTTCTCTTTATTTATTTTTTTAATGATCAAATTTAAATTTTAAATATAAGCTTTTTACTACCAGAAGAATTACTTAGCAAGTCATATGTTTACACCTGCAGGAAATGAAAGCCTTTTTAAATGAAAAAATGTAGATGAGAACAATGAAGTTAGACCCTTTCTATTTGGGAGGCATCAGAAAGGTTTTAAATTATTGGGATAAGTAACTCCAGAAAATTGTCTGACGCTACAGATACGCTCTCTATTTAGCATAGGGGAAGATTTGCAGGTTCATAGGAAAAAGCAGTTGCGTAGCTGACGTTTTGACAAAAAGATGGTAGGAGCACCCGGGCCACCCGGGGAACGTGAGCTGGGCCACTCGGCCCATGGCTGGAGGGCACAGAGGAGTGTTAGGCACGGATTTCACCTCTGGAAAACAGCCAGAGCGTGTCAAGCCCTCAGGCAGCTGAAGCCAGTGCCTCGGCTCAAGCAGCGGCCAGGAGCGAAAGCTTCGGGAAAAAGCGTACGAAACAGGTCAAGTACGAGGGTGTCCTTCCCCGAGTATCCTTTGCCAGCTTCCAGTGTTCAGGATGTGAACACTGTTTGAAGTTTATGGTCTATTAGGAATAATCTCTGCCATGTTAAGTTCATTTGAATTTCCAGAGGATACAACAGCTGGGGAGAGGCAGGAGTTTTCCTTCTCGTCTATCTTTTGACCTGCTCCGATCGCGTTGGAAAGAAGATGAATTGCAATCCATTTGGAAATGAAAGCCTGGTAACACAGAAGCACTGCTTACAGGGTCATCTGCTAATTCTAAAGGTTCAAATAAGACCTCACGGTCACAGAAGATTTCTATTTCAGTATGGCTACCAACGCTCCAGTTTATAAAACAAGGAAAACACCAGCTAGGAAGAATGATGCGGAAACCACCGCTCGATGCCACGTTTCCCTGCAGCTGTTCACTCTAGGCCGCTACCTAAGCTACTTAGTTATCGTCCTCCTGGTGATGGGTTACTGAACCTCAGGTGGGATTCTGGCTGGCTGCTTTTGTGTAAACAGCCTGCAAACAAACCACAGGCTTTGAAAAGGGAACTTGCCTCCTAACGCAGGAACAGGAACGACAGTTTGCAAGGACTGCTCAACCTGAGCGACACATGGGATTATGGAATCATTCAGCCCTGCTGCAAATCAGGCTGTTTCTATTTAGGGGGCTAAGTGCATGTTTAGTTAAAAATCTCACTTTTTACCACATTGGACTGCAAAAAGGGTTATGGTAATATTTAAGTGGAATTTCGGAACATGGCAAATCCGAGGGCCAGTGGCAGCTGGGAGATTTTGAAACTCCCACCCGGTAACTCTGTAAAGGGACATCGGCACGAGGCCGCCACTCCAGGGAACAGCGTTCCCCGTCACCGGGTGTGACATCGCATTAGCTGCCAGCAATGAGATGCAGTTCAATTTGCACTGACTGATCCAACCTAAAGAGACAGCTACTGAAATAATCATCAGTTCCCAAAATTGCAGATGTGCAGAAAGAATAACAATCACATTTGCACTGCATACAGCCATCACTCATCCATCCTCCCCAGGGCGGACAAGGTATTATTCAAATTACGGAGGTAGAGACTGTGTCCCATTTGGTGCCAAAGACTAAGAGTGTGATCTGGGTCAACTCTTCTAGCTAGCCTCTAGATCACCTTACAGCTCTCCTCCCCGTCTCCAAGCCGTTCTGGTATCAGCCCCATTGCATTGCCTCTCCTGTAGAGGCAGGCTATCATACATGAAAAAATAAAGCACAGTTTGGTAAATATTAGTGCTGAGCAAATTCATCACAGTGCTATTTTTCTGGCTGTGACACATCTGATTGCTGACTGAGATTGCCTGCATGTATTCTCCAGTGATTTTGCAATTTTACTTATTGTAAACAATTTCTATTCTACACACTACGCTGATCACAGTTTTTCTGTTTGGGGTTTTTTGTTTTTCGCTTTGGTATTAGGTTCCTTGAGCTGTTTCTGCTACGCTGTTGCTGGCCAGACAAACGATACATACCGTTTCTGGTCTCTGTTAAGGGGCGGGGGGGAACCTACAGAAACCTACAGAAGTGCTTTATGAAATGTTTTTGGTGCCCTTTCACTGAAATACTGCTGTGCTTAGGGAAGCTTAGTAAAGTAAATCCAGTCCAAAATACAGGAGAAATGAAATTTTTCACAGCTTTCTCGCTTGAGTCCCAGATTTGTCAGGAACATTGGAAATTCTCATATGACTTCTCTTTGTTCCACAATTAAAAGAACTGGCCAACCGTAATAAGCGTTTCTCATGTAAAACCTGCTCTCAGAAACGACTTCCCATGCAACTTGGAAGCCTGCTTTCTAGTATTCGTGTCACAGAACTGGAATCACAGAGCTGTTTTGAAAAAAAGTGACATAACTATGTCAGATAATACTCATCTACAAATCCAAAAAAATCTCCAAGACTGTTTAGTAGCATTTGGTGCTACTCCTTTTGTCTGTATATAACTGAAGTGGCTAGTAGACATGAATAAAGATTACGCTGCTCATTCTTGTACTATCTTTAACGTAAATGGGACCATCTCATACGAGAGAGCGAATTTAATAAAGACCCCAATCTGAGCCTTATATAGGACTTGCACACAATTACACATCGGCAGTGCTATTTGACATTAACATCTTTCCCGCCTCGTGCAGGCTCTTCAGAAGGGCTACGGCGCTGGCCAGAGTAGCCGGGCTGCACGAGAGGCGGATGCGAGGCTTGGCGTAAAGCTAAGGCAGCTCCGGAAGGAGCGCTGCAGCCTGAGCAACTGCAGGAGTCAGGGTCAGACGCAAACCACCGCGGATTAAATGGACTTTGGATGAGGCCCTACGGGTCAGCAGTAACATGCCACAGCGTAACCTGTCCTGGTGATATCGTCAACGTGACTGGCTGACTGGGATTCTACTGCTCTGTTCTTCATCTCCGGTGTTTTGAAGCTGGTGTATCACTAGGTGGGCTCCAGGCACAGGGGAATTATTCCTGTGATTGCAGGAGCTCCTCCACCTGCTGAGTTTTGCTCAAAGCTTAACTGACCCATGCTCTGCACTGCTGCCTCTAGCTTACCCGTTCTGCTCTCCACGCCTCATCACGGCCCTCATCCTCCTGGCAGAGCAAATGCATGTTTAACCTCAAGCATGTGTTGTAATAGATGTTAATCATGTGGTTAAACACTTTGCTGAACAGAAGTGGAATTACACACGTTTTTTTGTGTTCAGTCTGTACAGATTTCAGGGAGCAAATACTCACACGTTTTCAGAAAGCAGACCTTCCAAGATGTTACAACTTTGGCACCTCAGGAGGGTGGGACTCAGAATCTTTAACGACCACAGGAAACCTATGCTGATGTCTTATGAAAACGTATTCTCCTGGCCCCGACAGGAACACTCCCTCAGGACTGCTAGCTACCCAGGCGCTGTGTCTACGGAAAACCAGGACTGACCATACCCACTTGCAATGTTTTGTTAAACAACTTGCATTGATTAAGATTCCTCTATAACCCTTCCAACAGGTGTTCCTCTTAGTCCTGGCCAGTGAGCAGGCTTCTTAATCACCTGTATTTCTAATTTGCTCTGGACTTAGGAACTGATTTCAGGCAGCACCTGCAGAGAGCACTGGGCTCATGTGGGCCAAGTACAGTACGAAACAGCTAGGCTGGGAGGCTCTTAGAGAACATCGCTGGGGTAGAAAACTGCAAGCATGCAAGAGGCCAAAGCACTGTGCTGGGGAGCAGCCAGACCGTGCTGCAGCCCCTCCGATCATCCCAGAGGTGCAACCGTATCACTACAGCCCGCAAGGCTGACCTCAAAGTAGGCCAGTTTCTCTGGGAAAATAGGTAAAGTCATGAGTGCCTGAAGCAAAAAGCTAACCTATTTTACCATACGCACAGCCGATGTTAAGAGAATAAATGAGAGCAAATTAAGCGAGGGGAACGCATGAGCACTCCAGGGGACAGGGTGCACTTACAACTGGCTGCAACCAAGAGGCTCAGAAGATGCATTTCAATCTCTGGAGTTGGAGGAAAGGTCAGAAAATATAATTATTATATGCGGAGCCAGATTTGTGTTTTAAGGAACAGCTTGGGTTCAGACAGCCACTCAGAGCACAAGCAACAAGGCAGAGGAAAAGTCATTTAGGCTCAGGGCAGGTCTCATTACTCTTGCAGGGAAATCCACTGCAGCAGAATACATTATTTTGACCTCACCAGATGATGTCACTGCAGAGACTTTGGACTAAGTCAATCAGGAAGCGGTAATATGCATGTGCCCCAAATGTGAAACTCAGCTACTCAATCCTGACAACATGCTGAAGCCCAGACTCAGGCTTTTAAGAGGTGGTGCAATTATTCACCCATTTGTTCGAGACATTTCGGGTGGGTGCGAGTGCACTGAGTAGCTAGCAACAGTTAAGAAGCGCTCGCTGTCTCCCCGTGAGCCAGCAGCCACTGCCGGCAGTACCCGGGCGGCAACAACAGGAATGGCTGCTCTCGTGCCCTGGACGTGGCGACGGCTGCCCCTGAGCTGCTCGTGACAACGTCAGGTAGGGGGCTGAGTCTGAAATCATAAACCACAAGAAGAGAGAGCAGAGGTATCCTGGGGCATGGATGAACAGCGAGTCTTAGCAGTGGCTGGGGACTCAGGCTCTTTTGCCTCCTTTGGAAGTTTCAGTGTAAAAAGCGCATTTTCTTCTGAAATGTCCTTCACAAATCAGCTTGGCTGATGCTACAAGCTTTAACTGTTAGGGCTGCAGAGGCACTGCTTTCTGTATCCCCTTGTTTCCCAACCTACCCCCTTCCACGCACTCCAACATCACCACCACTCAGGCCAAACAGATCAACAATGGATCTTACCAATTTTTTAAGACAAGAGTTGTTATCAGAGCAGCTATGACCATGATGAGGGACACTGTAATAGTGATTATCTGATGAACTGCCAGACCTGTGAAGAAAAAAAAAAATCAAGAAGAGAGTGGAGATAGGAAACAAAGGGGATCCAGGATAACACTGAGCAAAAACCCAAACGGCAAACTGAATTATTCAGTAAAAACCTCAAGGTTTTGGTCAAGTGAGAAATTACCACCCTGAGAAGCAGATGCACAGCAGCAGAGAGGACGCAGAGTACGCAACAAGCAGGACTGCAGTCCCTGGGCACAAGGCAGCGGTGCAAGCCCTGCGAAGCGCCACAGCCCGTGGCAAGGCTCGAGCACGCACGGGTCACGTCGCCTCAGCACGCAGAGAAGAGCTTCCCGTCGCAGCTTCGCTTCTCTCTTTGCTAGGGAAGGTCCCAACAGGCTCCCAGACACTGCTGCTTTCTGGGCCATCCCAAAGAAATCTTCAGGGCTGAGGGACAGAGCCTATGCGACTCTTCATATACCCACTCACGGGCACCAGGCTCTTGAGCGCTCGCTTCCTCACTACTCTCACTGCCGTCTCCTTCCTTCTCCCGCTCCAGACCCCTGCCTTCCATCACCTTCTGGCACCACGTCTTCAAGGGCTCTGCTCTTCTGCTCTGCAGCTCCTCTCGTCCCCGGCACCCGGGGCAGATGAACTGGCTGCCCTTCCGTGTCCTGCCAGAAGCCAGGCAGGGCAAGGAGGGGGGATGCTGGGCTCGCGGGCAGCAGAAAGCGTTCACAGCTCTGATACCCCCGATGCAGCACACCACCTTACAGAGAGGTTAACCAGCAGTTCCCTGTACCAGCACGGGATGGGGAAGGCAGCTCCACCAGAATGAAGCAAAAACACCAGTTATGGGCATGCCAAAGAGACGCTGCCCTCGAGAGCAGGAAGTGCTCGCCCTCGGGCAGGCCTGGGAAATAGCTGTCCAGGGGCTACTCCTGCAGGCCACAGGGCCCCCACGGTACCAGTGGCCGCAGCAACGCCCGGCTGGGAAGCACGAGCTTGGTCTGAACTGCCGCTTCGCAGGATGCCGACGGCGCGGTGCGGCGCTGGACTGCAGGGAGATCACCTGGCTCCTCGTCAAGGACAGCGACGGCAGACACGGAAGCGGCGCGAACCTTCCCGCGGACCCCTGGCCGAGCAGAGCGAGAAAGCAGCCCGCGCCTGCCGCGCTGCCCCCCCCGAGACCAGGCTCGCTCGCCCTCCCAGCCCACGTCACGGGCTGGGCAAGCAGCCGTCGTGAAGGAGCAACTTAATTTTCTCTCGTGCATTACATAAAATAATCTTTCAACCAGGCTTCTCCTTTTCTATCCTCTCAAGTATGTTCCTTGTCAGCCTGCATTAAGCACGAAGAACTGAAGAAATGTAAAGACATGTACCCTCTGGGATGGAAAAGAAAACTTCAGCGCAGCTTTGCAGTGGGTGCAGGATCAACCAGAGATAATAATTACAGTACTAAGTGCTATTCACTTAGAAGGTCGGATGGGCTCATTTTCTCCTAATTCACCTTACACAGGGTATAATTTTGGCTCGTGTATCGCTCCTAATGAGCAGTTTGAAAACAAAAGCATCTCAATGTACAGTATGTTTGTGATTTTGTGCTGCTTTACAGTTGCAATTTTGTAATGAAATGATTTTCCTGGCTGCAGCCCAAGGATGTGCTATTTTTCACAAACAGATGTTAGAGCTCCTGATGGATGATATTTTTAATAAATAAACAAACATTAGTATGACAGAAAAACAAGCAGTTATATATATGTGTCTGTGCATGCATGAAGACCATATACATAACGTTCCTAGTTTGCGTGGGTGTGTGGGGCTCGGAAATTGCTTCTTCCGAGACAAGAAAGCAAAGATTTCCAGCCAGCGGCCTCCAGGTAAATACCATTTCTGTACTAGCGCTGGGGCAATTACTCAGCTGGTGCAGCAGCCACAGCCACGCTGAAGTCAGCGGAGCGCTCCGAGGAGATGCCCTCGGCGCATCCTTGCTCGAACGAGCAGACTTTAAAATTACTCTAGGAAAGAGGGGGTCAGAAGGTGACTAGCTACTGGTCCAGCCATTTGTCTCCATGGTGAACTGGCTGGAGCATCTATTTCAAAGTCAGCTCACCGCTACCGTTTCCAGAGCAGATAGCCGCGCGCACCTTTCTTCTGCAACAAAACTGGCTGCGCTCCAGAAGCAACTCCTGTTTGGAAGCGCGGAAAATTATTCTGGAAGAAAAATGACAGAAACAGCATTCCAGACTGGCAGCTGCCAGAGCCGGGCGAGAAGATGAGCTCACGCCGCCTCTCGAGGCCACGTCTCCTGGTGGGCGCACCCTGATGCCCCCGGGGCTGGCTCAGCCCCCCGCAGCCCCCTGGCCAGCGCGGCTGACGGCAGGGACCCGGCCTCAGCTGCCACCACTGCTCTCTGGGCCCACGGGCACTGCGGTCACCCAGACAGCTCACCCGCCACCTGCTGCAGATTGCCTCTCGTTTCATCTTCCTCTGTAGCTGCCCTGTAGCTTTGTAAAGAGCATCTTCATGCTCCTACATGAATTATGTCCAGGACTCTTCTGTCCTCCTGAATAATAGATTACGGACCAAACAGCTGCCTTAGATGACATTGTTCTCCCCTGCTCTCTTCACAGACCACCCACTCGTACAAAATACTCCATTCTCGACAGAAACCTGTGTGACGTGGTGTACAGCACATCCAATTCACAACCCAAGCATTAAGCTGGATAATAAGGCCAGATAAAACATATCAGAGGTATTTTAAACTGCAGCTTGTGTTTGCTGCTCCACTGCCTCCCCTCAAAGGACAAAGTCCTGGCTCCCTTGAAATTTGTGATCTTGTTTTCCCCCTTGTTTATCCACATGGCCCAGGGGTTTCTGCTCGTTCAGCCTACGAGCCCATGTACATGCCTGCACCATAGATGCTCACGGAGAAGTATCCTAATAGCACCAAGAAAATTCATCAATGGAGAAAAGCTGCTGGAGTTTAGCTCAACTCCCAGGGCAAAGCTGCCACCTCTCAGTGGTGTGCAAGCGCTTGAAGCCTCCTTCGCCCACACACTCTCAAAGAACTGCTAATTCCTCAGAAGCACTATGGAAAACGTTTCTGACCTGGGGAAGAGTGGGAGAGAGAAGCTGTACAACTGCCAAGACGTAGCAGCGCCTGACAGCTGCTCTCCGCTGCGACGTACCTTCATTCCCGAGGAGAGACGGAGCACACCGTCTCGGCACGAGAGGCAGCAGGGCAGGGGGCTGCCGGCGTGCCACCTCTGCTCACAGCAGTCGGCTCTCCCAGGGAGCTCAATGGCATTTACTCAGAGCTATACAGCCAGTATTTCAACAGCCCTCTCTGACACAGAGTTCAACTGCTCACCGTTTCACTCGAAACTGTTAAAGACGGCTGGCAGAAATTAGCATCGCTCCACTGTTAATGGAGCGACATCAATTAACATGAGTTGAGGCTCTGTCCACGGACACACATGTTACGCCTCGCTCAGCTGAGCATCATCACTATTAATTCCTTCTCCTTGCTGAGGTTACCCGAGTTGCACATATCGCAGGACTCAACCTCTGCGTGTGGCAGCCTGACCAAGTAGGTGTGGATTGTCACTCAACACCGCAGAGAAACAATAAAACATCCAAGCTGAGCAGAGCACAGAAACAACGCCAGTGCGAAGTGACCTCTTTTTAGGAAGTGATGCAGACTTTTCTGCCAAGACGCATTCCAAGTATAAATTAACTCTCCAAGATGTGAGTCTTGACAGTTTAATATAATAAAACCAAGGTCACCTTCACCTAGTCTGATTCACCAACACATTCACTGCCAAGTGCTTCGGTAATGACAGCTTGCAATGAAATCTTTACTCCCCAGCCCCCTCAAAGGTGGTTCACGAGCTGTGTCAGAAGTACAGTCGGAAGCCACAGGGAACAGCCAGCTACAGAAAATGCCCTCCTAGAGCGCATATTGGTTAGAAAGAAAGGGGAACAATCGCCCGGCAATCAGTCCGGGCAATTGGAAAATTCTCACTGATGAGCGAAAGGAAGCACTTTCCTTCCTTCCTCTTAGCGTGATTCTCGCCCGTATCCATGTGCTGAAAGCAACACAATCAGGCTGTGAGGATTTTTAGGGGAGAACCTGAAGCTCATTTTTAAATTTGATTTTCTGGGCAACGTGGCCTTCTTGCTTCCCATCCTTTCCCTATCCAAACCCCTGCTGCACTGCTTGGACTTTGAATCTGGGGAGAAACAGGGCCTCTGAAGGGCTGCTGAAATCCAGTTTCTACGTGCAAGTGCATGAATCAGGAGGAGAACCAGTTTGCTCAGGTTGTGGCTTTCCAGCACCCCTGCTCTCAGCCAGCATCACCCACCATGCAGGCATCAAGACTACAGAGGTTGGGTCAACTCCACACAGCTGCTACCAGGAAAGTCTTTCAAATAGCATAGCAGAGGGGCTTAAGAAAGGAGAAGAGTTTTCAAGTTAAGAAAACATCTACAAAAATCTTTCCAGTGTTACACAAGCAGGAAATAAACACCACAAAAACGAAGAATATGCATATATTTGTGATTTTTTCTCCTTGAAACATAACACATTTGCACCAGGAAAAGGTAAAGAGGGGGAAGAGGTCAAGAGAAAAGAACATCCCAACTCTCCCAACACTGACCTTTGTATTCTGAAATTAATGAAGTATTTCAAGCAAAATGGAAATTTCCTCTGAATGTTGTTTACAGGCAGGGCCTTTCTTGATTAAAAAAAAAATATCAATCGCTATGGTCCACAGCAGAACTGGTTGCGGGGTCTAGACAACTCTCATTATTTCCTTTCCACCCTACCGCTAAGACACAATAAAGCAGCCTGGCCCTGAGAGGTGGCCTCCACCCTAGAAGTTGGATAAGCAGCCTTCCTCTGCCTTCCCCCAGATGCAAAAGGAAAGGACCAGAACAGGAAGCACCTCAGCTTTAAATAAGGAACTCGTGAGTTACAGCTGACTATCAGGTGGCTTTAACTGATGCACTTAAGGGGGGAGATGACTTTACTATTCACCGCAC